TGTCTGCCTGTGCTGTATCTCCCTTGTTAGGTAATTGTATTGAGGTTAGGCGTTGGTCGAGTGTTCTAGGTAAGTTGGAGGGAGAATTAATCGATGAGGTGGTTATGAAGTTAAATGGATTGAGAGAGATAGTTAGGACATGTGTTACTGCGCGCATACCTAGCCTAACTTACCCATCGATCGCCTTCCTCGACAACGGGAAATGTTAGCTGACTGACTGACTGACATAGGATGGGTCAGGTTGGGAAAGAGTTGGCTAGTTGACTTCATCAGTCAATGAAATAACTTCACCATAGTTAGTTTAAACCAGCTAGCCGGCCACGTAGAGTGGGAGGTGTAAACTTCCTGACTGACTGACTGGTTGGGGTCCTCAGGGTGGTAAGAACCAATGGTGGCGGCTGGAAGCAATTGGTGTAATATGGCTGAATATCGTTCTCGGTGATGGCTGACGCAGATGTATTCACTCTTTGTGATTTATAATACCCTATAGAACCCTATTGTTTTTTCACATTACTATTCTTTTTCCCTAACTCACACTCCTGTTTATTATCTCTGTTTTGAATCTCTTCTGTTACTTTGTGTGGTACATTGAGGGAGTGTAGCAGCCGGAACTGTTGTACATCTTTGCAAGGTTTTACGTTGAAACCTGTCACTCATAAGGAAGAAAGAATAACTAGTAATTTGGGGGGAAAATATGTGAAGGTTTAATGGGGATATTGAAGATAACAAGGACTGAATGTATCTACGCAAGTGAGGACGATTTTACGCCATATCACATCGATTTTCTCAAGCCATTGGTTCTTAGCCTACTGAGGACCCCAACCAGTCAAAGACTCGATGGACTGATGCTGGGTTTTTGTGTAACCATCCCCTGACTCACTCTTTCCTAACCTAATCAATCTTATGTCAGCTAACATTGATCGTTGACGAGGATGATGGTTTGGCATGTTCAACATCCATATCCTAGCTGTCTTGATATCCACGTAGTTTCGCTAAACCTTATCAAGACGGTAGGGGTGTATTCACAATAGTTTGAAGTAAGTAGTATTATTAAGTAGTATGTGTATATTCCCATAATTGCATCACGAATAACTTCAGACAAAAAGGAACAAACAATTCAAAAATGTTGAAAAATAAGGTGGGAAATCAGATAACTTTTTGTTCCCTTCAATTCATGGTGTATCATATCGTATAGACTGAAATTAACATTTGAATGTCTTGGCGAGTGATTTTATTGAATCGAAGTGTTTTCGTCTCTTTTGACGTGTTTTCTTCAAGGCAGAAGAAAATGATGAGCTCTGTGTGTGTGCGTGTGTGTGTGTCTAACAATCCCTATGCTTTTAAATTACTTCTTTAATTAGTTTACGTGTCGAGTGGAACCTAGGACTTCTTCAAGCTTTGATGTTTCAGTAGGGCTTGTATTGTTTTCATTCAAGGTGGATGGGATTGCTTGTCTCATGCTAAAGCTTTCCCTCTTTTCCAGGCTTACCACCATCTATTTTTTTATATTCAAGTATTGGTTTGTAGGGATTTTGTTTGATTGGTTGAAGGATTTTATCATGAGCTGACATCAGTTAGAGAACCATTAAGAAACCAGCTGGGAGTACTGGACAGCTGTTTCGTCATCCTAGTTTGGGACTCCTCATCAGGACGCACTCGCTCTATTCGGGTAGGTAGTTACCTGGGGTTCCAATGGGAGTTGCTCTATATTGTGTGTGAATTGGCAGAAGTTAGAATGCATACACTGACTGGCCATTGGATTGCCGGGCCCCAGTGGCTTAAAGTTCTATAAGTTCACTTTGTAACCGGAAGGTCCTGTGTTTAAATCCTGTTGGTGGGTGCATGTTGCTGAAGAGTCACAAACTGGCCCGACGAAACAGCTGGTTGTCCATTACTCCACTGGTGGTTTTCCAATGCTTCCGTAACCGATGTCAGCTTATGATGAAATCCTGTCACCATGCATTAAATTAAGGTGGTAGTGATGAGGTTCAGTAGTGCATCGGCCGTGGGAGTCGGACCTCGGACCATGTGTTGTGTGTTTGGCGAGCATTCTGCCGTTGAACGTATGTATATATTGAATAATATAAACCACAAAGTCTGAACGTATCTGCATCACCCATCACTGAAAACGATTTGGAATCATATCACCAATTGTATCCAGCCGGCACCATTGATTCTTGTCATCCCGAGGACTTCGACTAGGCAGTCTGCACCCCACCCCCCCTACGTGAGTGGCTGACTGGCTGGCCGACTTAAACTAACTGTTGTGAATTTATTTCATTGACTGATGAAGCCATGTTTTCGTTTGACTACCACCACCACCACCACCTGGTCCTATGTCAGCTAACATCGTCCGTCGAGGAAGGCAGTCGATGGCCAGGCTAGGCTAGGTCTGGTTATAAAATTTCGACACCTGTGATCAAAGACAGCTAGCTAGCCAGCTAGGCTTTTCATATCTTCTATTTATTAATGGAGGCTATGTCTCTCAGGGTGCGTCGGTGGCATAGCGGTTAGGACGTTCGCCGTCCATGCACATGGTTCGGGGTTCGATCCCCCGCCGCACTCCTTTACCTCGCCAAGCCATAAATAATCCTGGTAAAGAGGAAAGGTTGGGCATGAGGCTAGCAACCCCATCCAGTAAAAAAATTACCACTGCTACAGAATCTTCAAGTCACTAGCATGAATCCCTATGTACCACTGGGAACGTGAAGGAAAAAAAATGTCTCACAGGCATAAGGACGGAGGACAGATCGAACTGCTATCGTGTAGTACACACGTCTTTTGATCGATAGCCAGTCAGATATCACATCTACTAAGCCATAGATGTCGTAGGTTATCAAATGCTGTTTCACAGTGGAAAAAGGAAGAAGTATTCACACAGCATACACATTAACTGAAAGTTAAGTATGTCGTGTTAAGGCATCAAAAGGCGTGCAATTAAAATAATCTATAATTGTATAAATGGTGGCGGTAGTGGTGCCATGTTTATCTTTTTTTAAAATCTTATATAGTCTATTTTTTTTAATATTTACATTCCCGGTGGAAAATAAGGCTTCAAGCTCGTAGAGATTTTAAATTTTCGGTAGCAGTGATGTTTATTTTTATAGGGTGATGGAGTTACTAGCCTCATGTTATGCGCAACAGTTGTATGAATAGCGGCCTGCTTAAATCACTGGGCTATTCACCAAAGTGCTTAAACTCTTCTACACTTCTTATTATTGTTTGAATCGTACAGTTATATATATATTTTTTGATTACAGCTTGATTCCACACCTTATTTTTGGTACTAGTATGAAATTTTCAGCATGGATATCGGAAGCCCAAACTTTGCAGGTCGACCGTAGATATCAGGTGTGCGTCGGCAGGGGGTCAAACTTCGGATCATGTGCATGGTCGGCGAGAGTCCACCATTGTGTCACCGACGCACGAATATATCAAATGATCAATACATAAACTCTCGCGCATTACCAATTCTCGAAGCAATTGAAGACAAAAAAATCTACAGAATTGGTCTGCCTCTGTCTGTCTGTTTTCGACATAGAACTCTGCACAAATGTGCGGCAGTTCAAGTCGCCACAGAATCGGTACTCTCCTTATATGGAGCAACAACACTGCAACAAATGATGTACTTGAGATTATTACTTTATATTGAGGAGTAAATGTTTTCGGAACTAAATACGCTGAAAATCTTTGTACCCCTCCAAATGCCAAACAGTCAATTTCACCTTTAGGCATAAATCTGACCTAAACAAACTGGTTAGCACTCACGAGGTGTGCAACATAGATGGCACTGAATAGAAACCAAGTCGGAAAATAAATACCTAAGTGTCATTCTATCTGCTGATCTTTCCTGGTCGTCTCATATCTTGATGATTCCTAAGAAAATATTCCGTCTTACCTTCTACATCAAGAAGTTAAGATATTCTGGTATAACCCAACTCAACCCTTACTCCTACAATTCCTTAACTCTTGCCTCTTGCCTATTATTCTCTATTGTTCCCCCTTAGTTTTTCCTGGGCTACTGAAGAAAGACTATACCTTATTACACAGGATGTTAAAGGTTGTCAGCAGGGTAAGCAACGTGCCACTTAACCAGCTTGTTAATATTCTGGTCGACAGGCATTTGGACTCATGTGAAAAATGGGCTCAATCCATTTTATCTAACTCACATCACCCTCTTCATTCACAATTCTCCCCTTGTATCTCATCAGGCAGGCAGAACCAGAAGCCTATATAGAAAACTATATGCTCGCACTAGCAAGTACAAAAACTCAACCATACCCTACTTAGCTCGTGTTCTCTACGATGAGGAAAGCACTAGTCGTGAAACTTATAACTTATTAAATAGTCAGTAGAACAACTGGATCTCGTATTCCCAACTCATATCATTTATAGGTACAACGTTTTCTTTCTCTCTTTTCCTTTTCTCTCTCTCTTTTTCCTGTTATGTGCTGCTTTGTTTCTTTCTTCTGCTTACACCAGTAAATATGCTACCATCTACTTTTCCAACACCTTCAAACACTGTTCAATTTTGGCTTTGCTACCGACATGCCAATATGTTGTTGTCATAATGAACTGAGATTACCTTAATCTATGTAGAATTTTATTTATTGATAATGTACTAACTGGATGCAATACTGTAGTAAAAAATTATTATTATTATTATTATTATTGTGGTGTCCACATATTGTATGAAATAAAGCTTTACTATTAGTATTATTATTCCCTATTTCCTGGTTTTCTTACCGGCTTAACAAGGTGTAAAGGAGTGCATATATCTGCACCTGGAATCGAACTCGCTAAAATCACATGCATGATTGGCTGACGAGTATTCAGCCGCTAAGTCATCGATGTACTTCTATAGTCTATTGGGAGAGGAAAAAACCGTTTTCCATTTTTGGTATTTACAAAGAAGACTGATAAAAAGTATCAATTTTTTGTGTGTGGTAATTAAAACCTGATCAATACTCATTTCATTATTATTATTTTTTTGATTACAGAACTCAATACGCCATAATCTATCACTACATGATAGATTTACAAAATGTCCAAAATCATCAGATAATACAAAATCTTCTTATTGGAGAATTAATCCAGATGTGGCGGCGAAACCATATGTACGCAGACGAGCTTGTTCAATGGATACAACTAATTTAAAACGACCAAGTCATTACGGGAAAATGAATAATCGATCAGGTGGTGCTGGTGGCGGCGGTGTTGCTCATCGTAGTAATGCATCCAATAATAATAACAACAACAACAATAACAGCAGCATGACTGGACATCATCATCGTCTTCAAGTGCCTTCAACAGACAATAATGAGGCAATGAAGTTATCTTTATCACCAGTATGTGAATTACAACAGCAGCAACAACACCATCCATTGGATTTCAATAATTATGCCTCATCAAAACTTGCCTGTAATCGATCAGATACTACTGGAACAGATTGTAACAGCAACAACAGTCGTTTAGCTTCGTCAACATCACCGTCAACAGATACGTGTAGTACAACTAAGTCTATGCATTTTTATCATTGTACACAACAGTCAAATACAACCAATGATACACTATGTGATAATAATAATAATCCACTAATTAGTTCACATTGGCAAAATCCTAAAGCATTAACACATCATCATCATCAACAACAGCAGCAGGCATATAATTCAAATGCTACATCTGGCGGCGGCGGCGGCGGTAATAATATATTCAATTCAGGATTCTCTGGTCTATCATGTTCTACTGATCTACCACCAAATCGATGGTAAATTCCTTTTTTTTTGTTTTGTTTGTTATTGCATAATTACTATTATTATTATTATTGCTTACAATGTCTACGTTTTTTAATTTGTGGGTGGTGACTAGCGGTAGTGGAATACACCAGGATGAAGCTCATTTCGCGTCCTATTTGGGACTACCTTGTCAGCTAATGGATGAACCTGGGCTCGAACCCAGTGCCCATTGTTTCAAACGCCAAAGCGGGTTATCCACAAGACCACTTGGGCCATGAGAGCTGGCCACCTCTTGTGCCAACGGGTCATATTAATTATTTAATTGAACTTTTTAGATTTTCTCATCGATTGATTGATGTGACCGAAGTGCTCAGTCTACTCAGGTTGACATGTTTGTTGGCTTCTTGTGTAGATGCTTTGACGATATCTGGGCATTTAATTAGAATTTAATTTTTGTGGATGGTAACTAGCAGTGGGATCCACCAGGATAAAGCGCATTTCGTCTTATTTGGGACTCGTCAGCTGGTAAGAATTCGCGACCAGTAGGAGGAGGAGAAGATGGTCATCGATAACATCGGCTAGCGGTCGTGCTAGATGTCATTGACTCAGTAGTCCTCAGTGGCTGCTGAATGGTGTACACGACAAGCTCATTTTGTTCACCTGAAGGTTCTTAGTTCGCAATGATGAAGAGTCCCGGATGGGGGACGAAGCAGTTGGCCATTACTTCCTTGTGCTCAATAGTTCTCTCCCTCTATCTGAAGTTGATTTGTGAATAAAACTGTTTACCAGTTGGTAGTAAGCCCTCGGAAAATGTGAAAGGTTGGACTGAGCTCACACCTTAAAAATGACATCACGCGTACTGAAAGTCTTAACATCGTCAAAGCTCAAAAAAGAAATCGCAGTGTATTCTGTATTATAGTTTCGTCATTTAAGCATGAATTAGCACTGGACAGTTTTTGATGTCTGTTTTTTATAGGTGAATGGGGTGTCCTTTCATAGGAATCTTCTGAATCATATATCTGATTCACAGAACCAATTATTTGAAACTTAGTTACTTGGTACGGTACGGGACCATAAGCCTCATTTATTATGTGTGTGTGTGTGTGTGTGTGCGAGAATGAGAGGCAGAGTTACTCAGTTACCTGAGGTTGAAGCATTCGGTGAATCAGAAATCACATTTAGGATCAGTTAGGTGAAAGTTAAACGCTTAAGCCAAGGTTACAATCAATTGACACTAAGTCTAGATATTAAAATTAGACAGTTAATAATTCCTTCTAATCTAATGGTAAATATATGTGTTGTATATAGATAAGAAGTGGAAATATTCTTGTATAATGAATGAATTTCTGTTGCTGTAAAAGTCAACGTACTATAATTATCAAATCTGTGTGTGTGTGTTTACCCGAAGACAAACTGGTTGCTGTATGTAGGCGTAGAAAAATTTAACAGTGTCTTTGTTCGACGTCAATTGTAGTGGATAGTGACTAACAGTGGAATCCAGGATAAAGCGCATTTCGTCCAGTTTGTGACTCGTCATTCGGATGTACCTGTATTGCCTAGTTAGTCAGTGGTGGTGTTCCCACCCCAGGCGGTCTAGTGGATAACGCCTTGGGGTTTGAAACTATGGGAACCGGGTTCGAGTCTCGGTGAAGGGGGCACCATCACTGACTGACGAGCCAGTCCCAAATAGAAGCGTGAAATGCACGTTATCCTGGATTGTTGCACTGCTATTCACCATCCTCCCTCCCAATTGACTTCAAGTTACATGACTAGACATCGTCGAAGCATCTGCATGAGGAGGAGTGGGAGGAGCCGACATGTGAACCTGAGATCGAGCACTTCGGTCCAGTCAATCAATCGATGGGAGAATCAAAATTGAATTCAATATAATGTCTCTTTTTTATGATCTTGAAAGCTGAATTTGTCACTAATTAATGTTTGTGAATGATCGATGAAATGGGGTTGTTGTTGGTAGTGAGGATACCTAAATATGTATATAGTTCTTAACAAAAACACGCTTTTCAAACTTGTTTTCGTATCATACCTCGTGATCTTTTGAAAAGCAGTAATAACCCCACAGGTAGGTATTTGTTAGGTTGGTATAATCACACGACTCACTGTTTTCATAAATGACTCATCCGTCTTAGGTGTGCTTTTCGGCGAATGTAATTTTGTTATAATTTCATTATATATATATTAGGCACTTGGTTTAGTTCCCAGTGGCTGAATGGTCAACGAGCTTGACTTGTAACCGGGATATGGTTCTTTGGTTCGAACCCCGGGCGTTGGGGAGTACATACTGCAGAAGAGATTTCCAAAGAAGGATGAAACAGATATCCCTGCTGGATTTCCAATATTCCTTGTACTGTGATTCTAGCTCATGAATAAACCTGTAACCAATGGCGTATACCTTGCTGCATACAAACACTTTAAAGTTGTGTAAACATTCCGTGGTGGATATCTCATTACTTGAATGAATGCAAGCTAATATTGTGTACAGGTTCGATCATGAGTTGTTGATATCAGCTAGGGAATCATTGAAAACCAGCTTGGGGGGTGGTACTGAACAGCTGTTTCTCCCTAGCCCGAGACTCATCGGCAGTACGCACCTGTTTGGAGTCAGACCCACAAACTTCCGGTTACAAAGCGAGCTATTGGACCATTCAGCCATTGGGACCTGATCTAATGGCCAGTCTATGAATTTTAACTTCTACCGATTCGTGATATCTGATCAGCACAACCACCAGCCGATATTCATAGGCGGTGAGTAATTGATCTCTTACCTGACTTGGTGGACGATCAATCCATAAGAAGAAGCATAAAAAGTCATATTTCGGGTCAAGGAGACAAACAGTACCAATACAAGTAGCCTAAAGAGTGTGAAAACTCATAACAGACAACCGACTTTCACGACGTTCAATGTCACCCACCGGGAGAGATGACTAATAGTGAACTCGTGGAAAAATCTAAAAGCTCAGTTCAACAAATTGAAGTATGTGCACTGAAGATGTGTTGGCCTAATGATGGGGCAATGCGAAAGTTTCTAACATAAACCATCATCATCCAGTTCAGAGAACATATCAACTAGATCAAAACAAAACCTGATGTTGTATAAAATTGATTGATGAAAGTCGAGTGATCTGCAGTTAGACAAAATAGTCACTCGCTTTATGTTGATTGGAAGTGATTATATGCATTCAAATAGCTCATTGTGAGATATCGGCATAAAACTATAATTAGATGGTTTATTGTGTTCCCATCGCATAGCATCGTATAAATACACACAGACAGATTTACTTCTGTTAGCAGAGAATGATACAATTCGTGTGCATCTGTGGCACAGCGGTTAGGACTCTCGCCGACCATGCACATGGGGTCTGGGGTTCGATCCCCTGCCGACTCAGATTCGATATCAATAATCGGCCTGCAAAATTTGGGCTACCGATAATAACACATGCTGAAAGCTCCATACTTGTACCAAAAATACAGTGTTGTGGAGTCAAGTTAAAAATAAAGATACTGACTGTGATGACTAAATTCCATTATGGATTAAATTTATTTTGATAAAGTCTCACACACAGTGTAGTGTTATACAGTAAGTAATATTTACTGATGACCACGTTTCGAGCACTCCAATTTATTACTGCAGCTCATAATCATATCACGGTAGGTACACACTCACACAACTTTCTAACTTCGTCTATATAGTTTCATTATTTTTCATCGCTTGATGTGATTAGTAGTAGTATTTTCCATATTTCCTGTATGAATGATGAGTCATTCCTATTGCACATGTTGGGTGTAGACTCGATGAACAAGGATTCAGTAGTAATCAACTCTCCCTCACTCTCCACCTACCTACCTACCTATATTACATCTTAAAACTTTAACCCTCTCTCACCTTATTGTATGGTTGTGTGTTGACACAATTAAACAAAATAATATGCTTTACAAAATACCTTGCAACGACTGTAAATGTGGTCAACCACATAGGTCAAACTAAGTAGATCGGTGGTGGTCAGATTGTCAGAATATAAGAATTTAGCTAAGTAACAGAATGAATGATCCTACCGAAGACAGATGAGTAATGTAGGGAAAAGCTCAGTTCACCTCTGCATTGTACTGCATGCATTAACATACAACCACACAATAGGATAGGTGAGATAGAGTTGTTAAAATTCTAAATAGTAATATAGGTAGGTAGGTAGGTAGGTGGGTGGAGAGTTAGAGAGAGAGAGGTTGAATATTGAATCCTTGTTCATCGAGTGAACCTATACCCACCAAATCAAATAGGAATGACACATCGCCAATAACAGATGGAATTATATAAATGAAGCTGGAAAGTTGTGTGAGTGTGTACCTACCTACCTACCTACCTTGATATGATATGATTATGAGCTGCAGTAATAAATTGGAGAGCTCGAAACATGGTATATGTATAACATTACACTGTATGTGAGACTATATCAACAACAAAAAATAATTGTTATCATCCAGACACGTTCATCAAGAGATATAAAGTAGTCAGAACACCAAGACCCACTCTCCAACTTGCGCCTAAGAAAGATGTGTACAACAAAAAATAAGATTTTATTTTACCCACAATGAAATTATACTCTACCGTCACACAGTGTACACAGCACAAGTTCTCTGTGATGACTAAACTTTGCTTCGTTGATTCTTTTTATGATAAACTATAAAGTTAGTTTTTGTCTGAGGGATAGATGGATAGATAGAGAGAAAGTATAACATGATTTTTTATCATGTTGTGTGTGTGTGTATGAGCTGTGTTTACGACGCCAGTTAGGTGTGTGTGTGTGTGTGTGAATGTATGTGGAGTCCATAAGACAATCAATATTCACAATATTAGGCTGTAAAAAAAAACTTGTTAAACAATCGTCACATGTTAATTGGAGTAGTTTCATTGTGTATACGGTATATATATATATTTCATATATTTCAATCAAAACATGTGATAAACACAATTGAAACAACGAAAAAATGTTTCACTCTACCTCTACCTCTCTCTCTT